AATATTACAATTAAAGTAATGCCTAAAAATGTAAACTAAGACGTGTTTAGGGGGTGTTTCCCTTTTTGTTTTAACTCATTAAGGTCCAGCCTATATAAGCAACCTGAATCCATGCCATTTGTCTGGTAGTCATGGCATGTCCCCTGATGGAGGAGGTTGTGGATAAGGGAGCTGCTATAATACGCAGGGCACTGCAACGGGAGCGCATCTTTAGAGACAGGGCTGAACTGTTGGCTTTTCCAGATCATCATTTATATGAGAGATACAGATTCTCCAGAGATGACATCTCCTATATCTGCCAACTGATCGGCCCTCACCGATGTGGGACTGTGTGCGTGGCGCTTCGCTTTTTTGCCAGTGGCACTTTTTTGTACACGCTTGGGAATATGCTGAAAATATTGGCGAAGCAACAGCGTGCCGCACTGTGCGCGTAGTCGACTTGGCTTTAAAAAGTCTTTACAAAGAATTTGTGCCTCCAAAGAGGCCTTTTATGTAGTGAGCCCTTTTACTGGGGGGCATAGTTTGTGAGGATGCCCCCCCCCCTTCAATCCCCTCAATAACAGGACACCCTTTATTCAATTGGATAGCCAGCTCCTCCGCTGGCGTGAGTTCTGCTGGTGGTGGCCCTCCCCCGGTGCCCGTTATCTCTGGGTTGGAATAGTGCAGATGATATCCAAGTGTAAATATAGCTTGTGGACATACTTACCACACTGAACAATGTTTTTATATTTTATTTTAACTTGCTGCCACGTCCACTTCTCCCCACTCAGGTTGGTGCTGTTTAAAAGTAAAAAGTTTAATGTTACATTAACAGCCTGTAGGTTTTGTTATATATTCTCGGGCAAGATCTTTAAACAACCGATACGTTCTCATAATTTGTGTATTATGGCCAAGCTTTAACTCAGTAGTATTTATTTAATGGCAATTTAACTTGGGTTGTAGGCTACTTACGCATTAAATCGATCAGCAGTTTCCTGCCAGCCTTGCTCTCTGAGTTTATGTATTGAGGCTGTGTTACCTCTTTTCGTTATTATATGTTCCTCATAGGTCTCCATTATAAGTGCCTGCTCTGAGGCAGTGAACATTGCCGCTAGTTTTTTTCATATTACATTTTGCCATTGTGAATCCGGCTGATCTGTGTTCGACCTCATGGGCTGCTTATAGTCTGACTAGATGAACCTGTCTTGAATTAGTTTGATTGCGTGGACGTGGCTCAACCTTTATGGAACCGCTTTAGCCTCATCTCATTTGTTAGGCTTATTCAAGTCAGGTGTTTCACATTAAGCGCCGCTTTTCTGAGCTTGCTTTATGGAACGGACCCCTGGTTCCCTTGTTATCGGGGTAAATCACCATGGTAACTTATGCTGAACAGCTGACCTGCTCCAGGTCAAGATGGAGATAAGAGATCAAACTGTGTAAAAGCTCCGCCCACTGGGGTGGTCGGTAGTGTAGCGGGTTGTGCCGGCACCCCATGTACAGAGGCCACAGTCCTCACTGCAGTGGGCCCCAGCTCGAATCCCACGTCAGACAGCCTCTGTCTGCTTCCTGTCTCTCTTCAACTGTCCTGTCCATTAAAGCCCAGAAAATATACTTTAATTAAAAAAAGCTCCCACTGACCACTCCCCTCCTTTGAACCATGACATCATGTTCTTATCGTGGAGCTGCTGGGGATCGTTCCAGTCTCTGAGGAGGACCAGGGTCTTCAGAGACCCACAAGATCCTCTGAGGAGTTTCTGAAAGATCTAGATTCTCCTCAGAGGATGAACCTTTGTCAGCTGCTGGAGCTTCAACAGAACCAACCTGACCCGTAGGAGCAAAGTACTCACAGTACCACAGACTGTCTACATGTACTTCACGTGTTACCTGTTCACTGTGGCTGATGCAGAGGAGCTCAACACAATCTACACTTTATACTTTACACATTAAAGTTTTTACTTTAGTTTCTATTGCTCTTTATTTTTTTCTACTGATTTTCTTTTTCGTATCTGACCTGTTTTCAAACCTCATTGTACATGTGTGTACTGATGTCATTATACAGTAGAAATAGAATCAGTGTCATGATACATATACATAATAATATGAAAATCAGTCGACTTGCTTCTTGACAGTATATTTGTGTTTTATTTCCTCCAGCTGAGCCTGAAGCCACCAGGGTTTCACCTGAAACTCTGAAACTGTCCCACACAGAGAGAATTCATGTTGATGTGATGGAGACAGATGAGACTATTTTCAGATCCACTCTTGTTAACAACAGTTTTACTATAAAAACAATCCAGATGTGTCACCAGCTGTTCTGAACTGCTTCTTTTATTCTGGATGTTTGTTCTCCTCTGATTTCTATTATTCAACAGTTTGATCCTCAGCTCAGCTGTCAGTCAAACTGTCCATGTCTGTGATTATATGCAGTAAACCCCGCCCCTTTCATGTGCATACGATCTTGATGAGGAAAACTTGAGTTAACTTGAGTTCATAACAAGCGTCATGTGACCACTAGCCTGACTCTGTCTCAGGTAACTACGGGCTGTGGGATCAGCACGCTGCCATCTCCTGGGTCCGCAGGAACATCGAGGCGTTTGGAGGTCACCCCGACAACATCACTATCTTTGGCCAATCAGCCGGAGCCGCCAGTGTCAACTTCCAGGTCAGAGGTCAAAGAGAGTTGATGATGTGTGACCTGTGACTGACAGAAAGTAAATATTATTATTAAAGAAACCAATTCATTCAAATGTATTGAATTCAAAACTGAAACTTGATGAAATAAAGTTAGAAAAACTAAATAACTGGTCAAACCACGGACTTCAAATAAAGATGGACGACATGACGGATCCCAAAAGTGAAGCCAAATCATCAGGATCTCCCCCTGGTGTCTGGCTGCAGTAGGGCCAAAAACCACCATGTTAGCAGATGGGACATGGACCAAACTAAAAGTCTAAATAAATGTTTATCAAAGATCTTTCTGCCATTTCAGGTCGTTCTTATTTCACCGATGTCTGTTTTTATATTACATAGACTCTGACTGCAAATGACATCATCATCACAACATGGCAGTGTTTGTATCAAAGATATTTTGGATTCATTTCTGGAGGAAGCAGAGACGTCATCTTTATTTATTGGCTTAAAATGGTCCATTAGAGTCTAACCTCTGTCTGTGTCCTCAGATGCTGTCCCCCTACAATAAAGGGTTATTCCGCAGAGCGATTTCACAATGTGGTGTGGCCCTCAGCCCCTGGGCCCTGCAGACCAACCCCATGTCCCTCACCAGGAAGGTCCACAGACACGTTGGAACATACAGCTCCTGTTCAATGGGAACAGGCGTGAACACATAAACATGTTTTTAACGTGTTGTTCTGCAGACAGTTCCTGATGGAAGCATCTGTGTGTTACTGCAGATCGCCCGTAAGGTCGGCTGTCTGAGGAGCGATGAGGACGAGATGCTAACATGTCTGAAGATGAGCGACCCCGTTGGTCTCACCATGGCGGGAAAAATCGATGTGATGCTCATTCTTGGAAAAGGTCAGATCAGCAGGGACGGACAAAAACTAGTCTGTAGAGGGCAGCAGATCATTGTCTTTCTAATGTCTGTCCAGAGAAGATGGTCTTTATATACAGTCAGTGTCTTTATATACAGTCAGTGATCATCTTTATATACAGTCAGTGGTCGTCTTTATATACAGTCAGTGTCTTTATATACAGTCAGTGTCTTTATATACAGTCAGTGTCTTTATATACAGTCAGTGTCTTTATATACAGTCAGTGTCTTTATATACAGTCAGTGTCTTTATATATTCTCTGAGTCTGTCTCTGCAGGTGTGGTTATGGATCTCCTTGAACTCGCTCCGGTGGTTGATGGTGATTTTATCCCTGATGATCCGAGCCGTCTCTTCCATAACGCTGCTCACTTTGATTTCATGGCCGGAGTTAACAGCATGGACGGACACATTTTTGCTGGAGTCGACGTTCCTTCAATTAACATGAAAAATGGAAACACAACAATGTGAGTACTGAGGACTGCCGGAACTTTATTTAGAAAAGTGGCCTACAGGAACAGTAACATGTCATCTGAGGTGACCAGAGTTCTGGTTTGAGTCCAGAAACCAGCAGCTGGATCCAGATCTACTTTCTTCTGACTTCCTGAGAGCTTTGCGACTTGAGGCTATGACATCATGAAGTTGTTGCTATGGAGAATGTGGTGACATCTTAGGTTCTACCATGACGATCTTTTTGAACCCATGTGTCTCCTCCTGTGTTCTCCTAAGGGAGGACGTGAGGGGTCTCCTCGCAGGTCTCACAAAAGAGAAGGGGAGCGCCGCCATTGCCTCGGCCTATGAGGTTTACTCCTCACACTGGGGGTCGTTTCCGGAGCAGGAGGTGGTGAAGAAGACAGTGGCAGACATCGAAACCGATTTCCTGTTCCTGGTCCCCACACAGATTGCCCTCCAGCTGCATGCCAAAAACTCCAGGTCAGATCCGAGTGGTGGATGCTTCTGGTTCTGGTTCTGGACCTAAGTTTTGAACTTTTTTTCCTGTGGTTTGTCCCTCAGTGGAGCTCGTACCTACTCCTACCTGTTCAACATGAAGACACGTATCCCAGGATTCCCTCGCTGGGTGGAGGCGGAGCATGCAGAGGACCTGCAATACCTATTCGGTAAACCCTTCTCTACACCACTGGTCTACTTCCCTCGACACCGGGAACTGTCCAAGTACATGATCGCATACTGGACCAACTTCGCCAAGACTGGGTAATCTCCCAGCATGCATTACACATAGGCACACACATACATGGTCTGAACTGTGTCTGAAGTAGTCCCAACTCTGCCTCTTCTCTTTTTGTCCAGTGATCCCAGTAGAGGTGACAGTAAAGTCCCAGCTCCATGGCCCCCTTTCTCCATACAACACCGACCCTACTTGACCATCAACCACCAGATCAGCAAGTCCTCTGTCAGGTACTTCTGCTGAGTTCTGTTGTGTGCTCCTATCCTCTATTCTGCTAGAGTCTCTTCTAATGTTGTGTTTAGTATTTCAATTTGTGTTGTAATATAATGCGACAGCTACTCTGTTCTACTGGGCATCATGGCTTAGGCATCTATAGATGGCGCTATATGCACGCACAGAGGCGTTTATAGTTATGGTGTCACAATACACTCTGAAGCACTAGTGGGCGTACAGAGAATAGAGAAGATTTCATCAGCTCAGCTTCACAAGACTTGGCAACTTGTGATCATCTCTGGTCTCTGCAGGACAAGTTGTAGAAATGATTGTAAAGTCTTCACTTGAAGGCGTCCATGTTGAAATGAATGTGTCTTGGCATCAAAAATTCTGAGGTGCACAACCAGGCATCATCCAAGTTTTGGAGCGGTCGTTGCAAAAGACGCCATGATGTCTATTCTGGTTCTAATCTTGGTGGTGGCAACACAATGACGGGTTTAAACCAGCCCCACTCTTCTCTTTTCTATTGTTAGTCTTTATTTTCTTCTCATGTCTCCACTGAGTGCTGCCCTCTGCTGTCCATTTTACATGCTGTTGTGTTTTAATGATGAAGTCACCTTTTAAGGCTCCGTGAGACAAATTGTGATTCGTGAAAATAGGCTGAACTCAAATTGATTGCTTGATCTCATCTCGTCAGCTACGACCTGAGATCAGATTACGTCACCTACTGGACTCAAACCTACAGCAGCCTGCCATCAGACAGGGGAGAAGAAGAAGAAGAAAACTGCCCTGACGTCAGAGTCTGATTTGAATCACAAAGGAATTATTTATTAATGTCTGAATGATATTAATATAATAAAAGTAGAACATATCAATAGTGAATCATCAGTGAAAATTGAAGTTGAAGAAATTAAACAGTCACACTTTGTCTCTGAATAAAAGAAGCTGCACTCTGAGTTTTTTATTTCATCATTGATCCATTGAACAGTTTCTTCTACTTCCGTCCACATTTTCCAGGATACGACTGAAACAAACGACCTGATCACTTTCTAACTAACCTGAGATTTTATCTGTTCTTTCAAAATAAAAGCAGCTGTTACCCATGAGCCCACCTGTCAATACGCAGCTGGCTCCTGATTGGATAATGCCCATACATGGAGACAGTACAGGCTCAGGTGTGATGGAATATTTTTAATATTATTCTGTGGTAGGTAGAAGATGATCATTTTCAAAGACAGGCAGAAACCAATACAGCTTCAATATGACCACCAGAGGGCGCAGGATACCTGTAATGTTTAAGTACAACATAAAGGAAAAAGTGATGACAAAAACCTGAGGAAGGAAGAAGAAGAAGAAAAGAAGAAGAAGAAGAAGAAAAGAGGAAGAAGAATATGGAACGAGAGAAGAGACAAACTATATACTCGTTAGTTCTCACACAGCAACAGGAAACACATCACATTCACACGTCTCTATAGTTGTGAGGACACTCACTCGCCCCTAACCTTAACCATGACAACTAAATGCCTAACCCTAACCTGACCTAACCTAACTTAACCTAACCTAACTTAACTTAACCTAACTTAACTTAACCTAACCTAACTTAACCTAACCTAACCCTAACCTGACCTAACCTAACTTAACCTAACCTAACTTAACTTAACCTAACTTAACTTAACTTAACCTAACTTAACTTAACCTAACCCTAACCTGACACCAAGTGAGGACCAGATAAAATGTCCTCACTGTTGTTGGTAGAACTGAAATTGGCCTGATAACTATATATAGACCACACACACACACACACACACACACGTCTGATCTTCTATCTTAGTGAGGACACACATTGACATGACACATTGCGTTGCCCCCCCAACCTGAACCACCAAACTAAATACTAAACTTAATTTAACCATAAAACAAAGTCTGAACCCTCAAACAGCCTCTGAAGAAATGAGAACAGAACAAAATGTCCTCACTCTGTAGGTCTGTGATGTTCCTCACAGACACAGACACACCGCAGAAAGACAAGAGAGGTGGTGAAGAAGGAGACGGAGAAGAAGAAGAAGAAGAAGAGAGGATGAAGCTCTCCGTCTAACCGTTCAGAAAAGAGAAAAGAGGAGAGCAAAGCAGGAAGAAGTGATAAATGAGGAAGTTTGAAGTGTTTTAAAAAAGAACAAGAAAAAGATTCAAATACAACGAACAAGGAATAGAAGTGAAGAGGAGAGGAGGAAGAGAAGAGGAGGAGAGGAGAAGGAGAGGCGGTGAAGAGGAGGAGAAAAGAAATAGGAGAAGAAGAAAAGGAACAGAAGAGACGATTCAGAGCGGTGATGGACGAGGACATCAGGAAACAGGGGATTCTTTATCTCCAGCAGCAGAGGTTTGGAAAGGTACTGATGCCAATGCTAACACTGCTAACACTGCTCACAATGCTAACACTGCTCACAATGCTAACACTGCTCACACTGCTCACAATGCTAACACTGCTCACAATGCTAACACTGCTAACAGTCTTGTTATTGTTAAATCTCTCTTCTCTGGCTTATTTTAATTGTCTATCATTTTTTACTGTTTTGCCTCAGTTCTTTGTTTGTTGTGTTTCTTTGTTTGTTGTGTTTCTTTGTTTCTTTGTTTCTTTGTTTGTTGTGTTTCTTTGTTTGTT